CCGACAGCACAGATTTCGGGGTCAAAATCTGGTCCTGGCATACTCGCCGTATGACCTTGGGGGGGACCACTTCCCCTTTTTGGAGCCTCCTTGCATCGACTCCGGGGTGATCATTACACCTAGCTTTTTGCCCGCGGTGATGAAACGAGAGGAGCTTTTGACACGGGGGGCCCCCCCCGGCTCTTAGGAGGCGCCCCATAAATGCGAACTGTCATCGTCATCACTGTTGTCGTTATTGCTACAACTGCCCCCATTTCATAGGTTGGGGCGGGGGGTGGGTGGGAGCGGAGACCCAGCCTTCGCGTTGCCAACGCCAAGGTCACACCCCGCGAGCGAGTGCGTGCGAGCCGGGCGGGGATTTGAACTCGGTCCATCGGCGGGGGCCGCTCTGACCACGAAACCCTACTGCTCCCGCTGTGTTTCCAAGGCTGCCTTTGATTCGTGTCTGCCTGCCTGCTTGCCTGCCTGCCTGCCTGCCTGCCTGCCTGCCTGCCTGCCTGCCTGCCTGCCTGCCTGCCTGCCTGCCTGCCTGCCTTGGAGTCTCTCTGTTAAGCTGAGGGGGTGTTTTTCTCCTTGTAGGTGGCCTTCCCTTATGAAACACTACAGCCCCACCGACTACGTCAATTGGTTGGAGGAGTATAAAGTTCGGCAAAAAGCTGGGTTAGAAGCCCGGAAGATTGTAGCCTCCTTCTCAAAGAGGTTCTTTTCAGAGCATGTAAGGAATCTGGGGACGGAGCTCTAAGCTTTTGCCTGGTCGTGGTGTGTGTGTGTGTGTGTGTGTGTGTCTGGCTCTGTAGGCATTGGCTCATCCAGCTTTTTTATTTTTTTTATATTTTTTATATGTCTTTTTTTCAATGCGCTCACAATCCCTTACTCACTTAGAAGGCTGCAAGAGTCCTTGTGTCCTATTCCTCCCATCCACCAACACGGAGCCATTTGTCCCTGCCAGCTTTACTTTTCTAAAGCCCCAGACAGAATGGGGGTGGAGAGGGAGGGAGGGACCAGCAGCACAATGTAGAGGGAATTCCCATCGGGGTGATTTCTCTACAAGTGGGTTAATCGTATTTTTTTGCAACCTTCACGTGATTTTTGGGGAATCGTCAAAGATCGAACACAACACATTGCACCCAAGTTGTTTTCCCAAAAGGGTTGAAGAAATGAATATGTTTCTTCTCTCTGGTTCAGCAGGGTCTAACCAGCAGTGAACTGATTATTTGTTAAGCTAACAGGATTAAAAGCTATCTGTAAATAGGAATTATTACCGCCGCAAGAAAATTTCCCTTGCATTCATTATCTCTGAGAAGTTTTCTTTTAAATATTGCTGAAATGCATAGTCTTTGTTTTTGTTTTTGTTTTTCCTTCCACAAAGTGTCCATAGAAGTTTCTGTACCAGGTTCCAACTCTTAACTTTTTGTAACACTGGGAAATAGTCCACAGTAATATTTTAAATTTATTTCTGGTAGGGTGGGAGTGAGGGGGAGCTAGAAATACAGCCAGTCTGATTTATTTTACTGTCCTGGTTTCCTGCAGATTCATTCCTGTTTTCTAATTTTAATTACTGTTACTTAATGGAGTTCATACCTTTGAAATGTTTTCGAAGCTCTTCAAGTTTTTTGAAAGGGAAAGCTCAAAATATTGAACTTTGGACAAATCTGAACTTATTGTCCTATGGAGACTAAAACTGGATATTCCCTAGTGTAATTCACTTCTATAAATAAATGATTGTTACTGTTAGAATGGACAGAACTCATGTTTCATTTTGAATAAGCCATGCCCTGCCTAAAGGCACTAATAATCACAGATTTTAAGTGCTGGTGTAAATGTGTTTGCACACAGGTAGATTTGGGTGCTAGATGTATTTGGTGTGCTAAGTCATGGGCTACTAGTGTGCAACCTCTGCTAGTCCGACTGGTTTTGCGTGCATTTTTAACAGCCTGTGCCTTTGTCTAATGATGATGAACTGTTGTGCTTTTTCCTTAGCTCCCGCTTTCCCTGTGCTACTGCTGAATTAGAAGTGTGTGGAGGACTTTGAGCATAGCAGACATATACTTAAGATTCACCTGTGGGTGGGTGATGACTTGGGCTCAGGACCCTCGTATTCCTGTGTTCTCCCCATGCACACAGGTCAACATGAAATTTCCTGACTACCTTCAAAAAGAAAAGTGGGAGAAGTAGTAGAATTTTAGACTGAGGGGCTATTTAAGTTCATTGGCACCACTGCCTCCGTTTACAGAGGAGGAAACATGTCCAGTGGCCTGAGTAGCCCAGAGCACTGGACTTCTCTCTCTGGCCCTTCCCTCCTAGTTGAGTGCAGCATAGACTGTGTGAAATGGTTATTGTGAATTTGATTTTGTATTTCTAAGTGCTTGTTGCAGAGCTGTTTTTCTTCACATTAGAATTCTTGAGTTATCAGTGTCAGAAATTTCAGTCTATGAAAATATAATTAACTAACAAGATCAGAACAAATCATCGTTACTTTGCAATTTTCTTCCCACCCTTGGAAGGTGGTGCAGGATAGTGTGGGATAGCTGTTACCACTTCCATGAAAGTGACCGTCTTTCTTTGCAATTCAGATTTGTGTGCGAGAGTGACAACGACATTATTACTTGTTATTGAGCCTATTTGTGTATGTCTTCTTCGTAGGTCCCCTGTAACGGTTTTAGTGATATTGAGAATCTTGAGGGGCCAGAGATATTTTTTGAGGATGAACTGGTGTGTATCCTGAATATGGAAGGAAGGTAAGCCATAGTTATAGCGGGGATGTTTTTGTTAGTCTGTCTGTTTTCATAATAACCCCAGAATTAGTTGCTGTAGTTTGTATGTGGCTGAACCATAGACAAGTTTCCAGATATCTTATGTGTTGCTACAGTTCCCATCTTTGAAAAATTCTGTGCATATAACGTAAGTATACCAAGACAATTGATATTTAAAGAAACGATGCAAAAAATCCTTTTGGAAAGAAAAAAGAGAATTAGCATATATTTAGTCCTACTGCGGGTCAAATACTGTGCTTTGGGCACTTGTATTTTTTATGTCATTTAGGTATTATACATTATCCTTCCTTTGTTATCACCTGTCCTCCTACCACCAGCACATTTGCGTGTTATGCATTGAATATTTATTAAATAATTTCTTAGGCATGTCTTAATTTAATGTGGGTTTTTTTACAGTTTTTGAATCTGGGTAAGAACTAATCTTACTTTGGCCGTGCACATTATAGATATTTGCTTGAGCCTTTCTTTTATCTCCTGATCAAGAAGATTCCATTATCTCCTGGTTGTTGCTTAAAATTTTTTATGACTCATAGTTTCCCCTGTGAGGGTTAACTACCAGTTTGCCTGAAAGGTAACTTGGCTTCCAGCCTAAGTTACCTGTGAGTTCTGGAAACTTGACTGGTGATACAAGACTGTTAGCTTCGCCTCTTCCTTAAGAGAGGTCGTTGTGCAGTATCTCACAAGCAGGGCATTAAGGTATTTTTCTTGCTGTTTTTAAGGGGTGTTAGGAGAGAGAAATATCTATCAGTGGAACAACTGTAGGGAAGAGGTAAGATGTGTCACTATTCTAGGCCTTGGATGAGTTCAGATCCAGAGGTCATTTTTCCATTTCTATTTTGGTTTATCTATAAATGAATTAAAGTTATGATCTAATAGTCAGTACTGTGTAGCCTTAAAAATAAAAGCTGACCTGTCTTTTTTACATATATAGACATACACTTCTACATATATAAATGTACTCGCATACATACTGAGTTTATTGTTTAGTTTTGATACGATCTTCAGTACAGACTTTGTTTTTTTTTCTTATTTATGCTGGTTTTCCCTTTCTCCCTCCCCCATTTGTATTGGCTTTCCCCTGCCCTCACCCCTGTAATTGATGATGACACACTAGCTTGTATTCTTCCATGCTGAGATGCACTGGTATATATGGGGTTCGAGGGGAATCATTATTTCACAAAATTATAATCATAAAATAGGTACTTTTCTATATCTTTTTTTCTCATTCAACATTACCTTATTGAAATTGATCCTAATCAACTGGTAAAAAAAATCTAATTCACTTTTTTTAATGGCTACGTGCTGTTTTGTAGTGTATACCATAATCTAACCATCTCCCTATTGATGGGTAACCACTTCTCCATTTTTGTGTTACTGTGGAGACTGATATTTCTGTGGTTTCACTTCTCAGTAAAAGATTCCTGAGAGTGGGTTGCCTAGGTCAGACTATAGAATGCTGTTGAAAAACATAAAATAAGAGCATGCTCTTGAATGGGAAGACTTACCATCACAAAAAAAAGTCAGTTCTTCCCAAATTAATACATAAATCTATTGTCATTTCAATTAGGATCCAACAAGAGTTTTGGGAGGGCAGAGTTTTTGTGTATGTTTTAATTGGATAATACTGTCACACAAGAATAAATTCACAAGAGCAATAAAACCCCACAATTTTTAAATAATCACAATGGGAAACTTGCATCACAAGATATTAGAACATATTATAAAGCTACCTGTAATGAAAACAATACAATGTTTAAGTAAAAATCAGTAGCCACTTCCATGGCAAAGGATAATTCAGAAACATATCCTAGCATAAAATGATACATTTAAACTCAGAGGGAAAAAGATGGACTATTTAATGAATGCTTTTAGACATAAGTGACCATCCATCTGGAAGTAAAATTTGCATCATATATAAAAACTAAATTCCAAGATTAAACAACTTAAATTTTATCACAATAGAAATCCTTCAAGAAAATGGGAGGTGTTATGTAAAACCCAGGGAAACCTCCTTAACCAAGACTAATGATGCAGACACAATAAAAGAATATGGACCAATGGTTTGCAACTGAAAAAAATAAACTTTTGGACGACCAAAGAAACCATAAAGTCAATAGAATTCTTAAATTTTCTAAAAAGAAATTGAAAAATGAATAGGAGGATGACATTTACAGAGGAGCAAATCTAAATGGCTGGGGATTATGTAAAAAGACCTTTACATTCACTCTTCAGAGAAATGTCTAAGAATAGTGAAATATTGCTTTTTTTTTTAATCCTCACCCGAGGATATTTTTTCCATTGCTTTTCAGAGAGAGTGGAAGGGGGTGGAGAGAAACACTGATGTGAGAGAGACACATAGATTGATTGCCTCCTGCACGTGCCCCCTGACCAGGGCCAGGGATCTAGTCAGCAACTAAGGTACATCCCCTTGGCTGGAATCAAACCCAGGACTCTAGCCTGCAGGCCGACGCTCTAACCAGTGAGCAAAACCAGCCAGGGCTGTTGTTTTTTCACTTATCAGATGGGGTGGGGAAAGACTGAATGTGCACAGCATTATTACAGTCTTTTTAGAAATAAATATCATAAATTTGTAACCTCTTGACCTGACATACACATTTTGAGCTTAAAACAGGATCATTTTGTGATAACAAGGGACAGTGTCTCATTTACAAATACTTTGGGATGCCAGTTTTCATGAAGGACCCTACTTGTATTTATTCCTGGCAAATGCTTGTTGTTGGTTATGGAAAACACAGGAAAGAGGAAGGGTAGTTTCTGTAAATGCTAAAGCACCAATCCCTGGATATTTGAAAACAATTTGCATTTATGGTGTTCTACATGGTCTTTTAAAAGAGTGCATCCTGCAGTAAAGATTTGAAACAACATATTAAAAGGGTACACAGTAACTGAGAAAATTGACTTAGTATGACCAACACTGAGACATATGATATTAAAGACAGAAATGTCCTTTGGTCATCCAAGCAAAAATAAATAAATAAACTAAGTCATCTCTAAGGAAAAGAAAATAAGAATATTGTCAGCCTTTTCAACAGCAGTGCTCAGTGCCAGAGGAAGAGTAGCATACTTAAGATACTCAAGGATCAAAAATGTCAGCCAAGGATTTTTATATCCAGCCAAACTGACTTCCAAGTGTAAAGGCTGCAGACAAACTTACCAACTTGCAGGAACTTGTGGGCTTTTGAGCCCTCCCGAGAAATGTGCTAGAAAATGAACTTTAAACAACCAAATAATCTGAGAGATTAAATATGTATTTACTTTTAAAAATATGTATTTACTTGCAGAATTAAATCCTAATGACAGTTAGTAGGGTAGTCAGTATTGTATGTGGATATAATGCAGCTGTTTAAAAAACATAAGAAAGAGCAGGGAGCCAGCATGCTGGTGACTGCTGACCAAGGGGGGCAGTGGTGGTAACAGGTCAGAGAGGTAGTGGGGCGAGAGTTTAAAGGATTCTTTATGTCATCATTAGGGCTTGGGCTTCTACTGTGAGCAAGGTGGAAACCATGGAGAGTTTGGGGGAGAGTGTGCACTGTGATCCGATGTGTTCAGTGCATCACTCTGGCTACTGTGTTGAGCATACACTGAGGGCCAAGGCTCAAAGCAGGACGCTCAGTGAGGAGGATGCCACGTGATACAGACAAAAGGGGATGGTGGCTTAGGTGAGTTAGTGAGATGTGTTCCCGTTCCTGATAGTGTTGGCGGATGGGTTGAATGTGGCTAGTGAGAGAAAGCCAGGAGTCAAGATGACTCAAGGTTTGGCGCCGAACTGGAACAATGGAGGTGCCTTTATCTGAGATGAGGAGGACTCCGGGAGCGGAACAGCGTTAGGGGCTCACCAGATCCCTAAGGGGGGACATGGAGTAGCAGTTGGATGTATAGGTCTGGCATGCAGGGACGAAATCTTCTGGAAAGTAAACTTGGGGCTGTCCGTGTAGATAATATTTGAAACCATGAGACTGGGTGAGATCACCTTGGCCTTGAGCGTAGGAGGAAAGCAGCAGCCCAAGGCCTGAGCTCCCTCTGCCAGGTGCAGAGGGGCCAGCAAAGGATTCGAGATACCTCACCCCTCTCTCCTGGGACCCACCTGGTTCCCCTCACTTTTCAGGTTTCTCCTTCATTTCCTTTTAGTAACTCTGAAGCCGAACAGATAACTGTTTTCTTGGATTTCAGCCATGACTGATTTCATGTTACATTACAAATGCACAGTCCAAAATTGTATTGTCTGCTCCCATGATAATAGGCACTATATGATCGTGAGCCAGTTGTAGCTGTCCTGTTAAGTAGACTCTTTACATGGTATGCTTAGTGTGAAATAAAAATTAATCACTGAAAGTTTTAGTATCTAATTCTTATCACCTTATTGTTTGTTTGTTCCAGGAAAGCTTTGACCTGGAAGTACTATGCAAAAAAAATCCTTTACTACCTACGACAACAGAAAATTTTAAACAATCTTAAGGCTTTTCTTCAGCATTCAGATGACTATGAATCGTATCTTGAAGGTGAGGCTTTAACGATGCCGTTTCTGTGGGCAGCTAAGTTGCCCTTGGAGCAGGACTGGAAACTGATGAACAGGCAGTGGAACAGTCGGCAATGCCACATGGGCTTCCGGAGGTTGGAGTATATGGTTTGGTCATGTAGGTGGGCAACACTAGTAAATGTAGAGCTAAAGCTTTTTCAAAACCTTTAGCCATCAGCTGAAGAGACAGTGTTTTCTCAAGATGCACCGTAGGTTCATAGCACGAGAGGCTGATATTTCAGCTAATGAGATTAACTCCCTCTTTTCCTAAGCTTTGAAACATCGCTTTCAAATCAGAAGTCAGTCGGTCCACTTCTGTCTCCACGTGACCTGGAGCAAATCCTTAACCTCTGGTTAGAGTTTAATGAGGAGAAAATGTTCTTGTGCGTCAGTGAGTCTGCCTGGCCCTCAGGAGAAGTGAGGAGAGAGAAAGAAGGCGAGTGGAAGGAGCAGTGGAGGCAGTAACTTTCTGTCCCTACCAACTTGAACAAGAACAAAATGTGACTGTATTTTTTTCAAACCATTTTAAATTCCTAGCACCTTACGCAAACGCTCCCAGAAGCTGTGGTTATGAAATACATACATTCCCCGTTCCCCGGGGTTTGCCCAGTTCGTGCTCTCCCCTCTGGTGTGTCTCACAGTCACACTCCATGCTCTGGCTGCCCTCGCGCCGGCTCTCACCGCCTCTCCCAGCAGCAGCTCTCTAACGCTTGCATTCAGGAGCGTCACCCCTCCCGCCCTAAGTCAGCCGCCGCAGCAGTGCAGCCCAGCCCGAAAGCCGGCCCTTGCCGGGCACATGAGCCAGCAACGTGCCGGCTGATCTGTTTCTCATTCCATCTCTGCCTGCTTTTCAGTGCCCTCCATAATCCAGTCCTTCCCCTACTCCAAGCTCTCCAGAGTGTCCCATTTGCTCCAGCCAGTCCATCACCCTCACTGGCACCCTACAGGTGCCCCGGCTTCACATCTTCGTTCATGGTATCCCTTTTCCTTCGAAGTCCCTCTTAAACCCTACTCGCCCTCCACACGTTCAGGTTTCACCTCCGTTGAGGTTCTCTGGCTACTGCAACACAGATTTGACTCACCTCAGAACTAACATGGGAGGGTCGACGACTAAATTCTGTGACATCATTTCTGTCTCATGCGTGTACAAGTCGTTTCTCCAAGTAGGCACTGGTTTTCTTGCGTTCTTGCCCCTATGCTATGATCACTGTCTACTCCACAGTGCCCGGTGCAGACTCTTGATCGTATGAATGTCTTCTGTCATCCGAAACAAAATGAAAGTCTACTGCTGTTTGTTGAAAGATCCTTGCCACCCTGGAATCTTCTCATGGGCATACTAAAGCTGAGAGGCATCCTATCTTATTTATTCCATGGTCAAGAATAATTTGACATGCTTTATTTCCCATAGCTTATTTATGAGACTGATTACTTTTTCATCTTTCTATTATAAAGTAATATGCCTTTTTCAAGCTTCCCATCCTAATCAGTGCTGGAGGCATTGGGTAGCCATGGAGGTTTTGGTTGGGTGAATGGAAGTAGGCTCAGGGATTTGGTCCTTGATGACTGACCAGATAACCTGATGCCTGATGCAGTTTAGGGATTGTTGAGTTAGGATGGAATGTGCTGTGAAGTTCAAGAGAAATTCCTTCTACATGCAGGTCGGTCCCAAGGACTCCCTGGAGCCAAACCCCAGCTAGTGGCAAAACTGGGACTAGGGTCCAGGTCTCTTGAGGCCCATCACCTGCTTTCAGCTCCTTAGGGTATGGGTAGGGGGTCAAGATTCTGAGCTGGTTTGAGGCCACTTGAATTTAAAATGACAGGCTTCCCAACTCAAAATGTCCTACAGCATAGTGATCAAGGTAGCCCATCCGTCTCTGGTTAAAAATTGCTGAAGGCAGTGAAGAGGGGATTTTCAGGAGACAATGTCTACAGTTTACTTTGTACAGCTTTTTAGCTGCAGCGTCCCTGCATGTAACTGGTCACCTAATTCAAAAGTACGGTTATCTCCACAGTCCATTTACTGGCCCATCTTAGAGAGGTGCAATTTCAGCTATTTTTTTTTTTTTTAAGTTAAAGAACTGTCTTACAACATTGCATTTTCAGAGTTGCTGGATTTTAAGCTGGAAGGGAATTAGAGGAAGAGAGAAGTAGCTTGGAAGATCTTTATAGCATTTATTTCTCGCTATAATAGAATCTGGAAACATGCCATGTATCACATAGGTTTTTGAGTCCACGACCTCTGAGAGAAGTTTCATTTATTTAAAACAACAACATAGTGACGTGTAAGCTCCTTTGCTACGAGGATGTTTCTTGCTCTTTTTCAGTGTCTTAGCAGCCAGGCCTGAAATCTAGGAAGCTTATCTGGTGGGATGTTGTCGAGAGCTGTGGCCCCAGGCATCTGGGGTAAATGACAAACTCATAGGAGCTTGTTTAATAATTCAGAATAGGAGTTTATTCAGTAATTCTTGTTGGCGTTCAGGTGCCGTGTTTATCGACCAGTACTGCAATCCTCTGTCGGAAATCACCCTCAAAGACATCCAGGCCCAGATCGGCAGCATCGTGGAGCTCGTGCGCAAGACCCTCCGGGGCATCAACAGCCGCCACCCCAGCTTGGCCTTCAAGGCAGGTGCGGAATTGCTTTGGGTCTGCTCTGTGCACAAGGACAGGCACCTAGAGTGGTTTGTTCCTTGGAAGTTCTACAGTATGTTCCCCATTGTGTCACAAAAAAGCCCTTGACACAACCACACGTTCACTTGGATAACGTAAAAGGCTTTAAATACATACTGTCTTCCTCACCCTAACACCTAACGGATATTGTTAGGACCTGGCCAGTGTCTACATGTTACAGGTTGTGCTTGTGTCCTGAGTAGATCTCTGTGTTTCAGGTGAGTCCTCCATGGTAATGGAAATAGAACTCCAGAGCCAGGTGCTGGATGCCATGAACTACGTCCTGTATGACCAGCTGAAGTTCAAGGGGAACCGAATGGACTACTATAATGCCCTAAACCTGTATATGCACCAGGTAAATATGGGTATATTAAAGAATAATCATTAAGCTCATCTCTGATAAATTGTACAGTTTTTGAGGGCAAGGGCTATATAGTTTTCATCACTCAGTGCTTATAAAACTCCTTTTGCCTCTACTATAAGAATATCGCTATCGATTTTTTGTTTCATCAAAAGTATCCTCTGTCTGAAAACTTTCGAGATGAGTGCCTGGCCAGAAGTAGGTATTTCTGTGGCAGTTTGTATCTTGTGAACACTAAGCTCTGAAGCTACTCCTGTCTTTCCTTCTGCCCTGGCCTGTGGCAAGGTTGGAGGAAGTCTGTGGGCAGCTGCGTCATGGATGTTTCTTTTTTATTTGCTTGGCTCCCTTTTCATATCTATTCTGTTGCTCTATGTGCTATTTATATTTTCTTTTTTCCTGTCTTGCACACTTTCCTTAAAGCTGCCTTAAATTCCTTCTGGAAGAAAGAGAAGGGCTCAAGTCACAGGTCTACAGGCTCTTTCTATAAAGGGCCTGGCAGGAAACCACCCCGTTTCCTACCTGCTCAGTTCTGCCCTCGCAACTGGAAAGGAGGCACAGACAATGCAAAAACAAGTGACTGGCTGCGTGCCGATGAAACTTTGTATAGACGTGGAAATTTGAATTTCATATAATTTTCATGTGTCACGAAATAGTATTTTTCTCACCATTTTTTAACATTAAAAAAATGTTAAAAGTCTTCTTACACGGGCTGTACAGAAAGGCGGTGGGCCAGGTTCTGCCCATGGACTGTTTGCAGACCCCTGGTCTCAATAAATAACATACTCATCCACTTAAGCCTCAGAACCTAGCCTCGTGCCTGATACACATACAGTAGGTGCCTAATAAAAATGTGTACCAAAGGAGTGAGAATACGTGGTTCATTTCTAGTGAGCTCAAGCGTTTTTTCTCCTCCAGGTTCTGATCCGCAGAACGGGGATCCCAATCAGCATGTCCCTGCTCTACATGACCATTGCCCGGCAGCTGGGGGTCCCACTGGAGCCTGTCAACTTCCCAAGTCACTTCTTACTGAGGTGGTGCCAAGGCGCAGAAGGGTGAGCCATCTATGACACAAAGCCGAAGCTGGTTAAAAGAGGGCTAGGGCTGTGATGAGACTGTTTCGTTTCTTGACTGTATCCATGTCAGTAATCCAGTGGGAGATGGGCTCTCTGAATCTTTCTATTTGTTCTAACAACTGCGTGTGAACACAGTTATCTCAAAGCAAGAAGTTGAACTTTAAAGAATAGGACTAGAGGTTCAAGGGCTTATGTGGACCTCAAAGTCTCTTTGTTCCAAAGCAGATCAGATCAAAGAGTTCTTACAGAAACTTACTTTCCAGTCTTCCATAAGACCTCCCCTCCTTCCCTGCCGGAGAGGCAGGGAGAGGGAACAGATTAGCCAAGTCCTTCATTGATGTGCAAAGCAAATATTCAGCGTTCCTATCTCATGTCACTCCTTTTGGGCGAGGTTGGTGCCTGAAACGCAGTCTGTAGACCAGGTTTATGAGGTTCTTTCCTCTCTTTTAAACCTGGTGCTCTATTGGGCATAAAGCTCCTTTTCAGCTCTAGTCTAACTTTCCTGCAAGAAATAGTTCATCAAATAAGTAGAATATCTTCTCACTAAATGTGCCATTTCAAGGGAAAAGAATCGAAGTTGTTTAATTATATCCTGTTCTTTGACACTACTTCCTAATGACTAGTTGTGATATCCTTTGGTGAAGTGATGAGCAGTATAATAGAAAGTGCCTGAGAGTTGAAGTCAGGCTGGGTTCAAACCTTGGCTTCCTGAGCCTCAGTTTCTTCCTCTGTAAAACGGGGCTACAGTTTTTCATTAAGCATCTTGGAGGACTGAATGAGATGACCCAGGGCTTTGCACACCCAGCAGTTTCTGACACATACATAGAAAAGTGTAACTGGTCTCTATTTCTGTTTCCTAATTTAAGGAAGAAAACGGAGGTAGTTGGAGCTTCCTGGGCATTCTTACCCTTTCTCCCTCCTCTCCTCTCCGGAGGCAGCCACCAATTAGTTTGAAAGTATTTGTTGTTTTGATGCAGATGTTTATAGTTTCTTACATATGTACTTTTCCTTAAATAAATGTATAGTTTTTCCCTTTTTTCCAAATATAATCTGTTCCTAAAAACGTTTCTGCTGGTTTCTTTTTTGGCTAGCAGGCACCCATTTTCCATTATTATGGGGAAAGAGTTTTCAGCCCATTTCCATTCCCTGAAACACCCAACTGATTTCCCCAAATATCTCTAAAATATTCTTAAATGCTTATATAATAACCCACCACGGATTCTGCATAATACAGAGCATCTAAAACACCGATTACTACATTATTTACCACAGTAATTTATTGTTATTACTCCTCCTTCAGCTACGGCAAACAGTGCAAATGGGCAGTGAAATAACTTGCCAGCACCCTCAGTGTTAACACTGAGACCCATCAGGGCTGGCTGGGCTGGACCCTCAGGGGAAGGTGGGGAAGAGGGGGCGGAGCGGGGCAAGGCAAGCAGGCCCGCCCTTTCTCTGCACCCTCCTTGCCTACCTGTGCCCGCACCAGGACCACATGGTCATTCACTGCACTTCTTTCATTAGTCCTCATACCTGGTAGGTGAGACCTCACTGAGTTCTTCTGGTCATCTCGGCCTGTTGCTCTAATAAAGATTTAGAATCAGTTTACTGGGTTTTTCAACCCCTGTGTGGATATTGATTGGCACCAGTGCCTACTTGGATTGGCTCCATCGATTAATATGCGGACTGTGGCCGGTGTTCCACTCAGTCCTCCTGTCTGTGATCGTATCTCCCACACATTTAGGCCGTCCTTAATGTCCTTAAAAAGATCTTACCATTTTCTTCATCAAGCCCTTTGACATCTTGTGAGACTTGTTCTTCGTACCTTCAATTTTTGTTGCTATGTACGTGGTAAATTTTTAAATGACACTTCCTTAGATTGACATGGTACAGGGACGTGGTTGAAATTGAGATGCAGCTCTGGTAATCGGCGCCTTTGTTGAATGAATGAATGATTGAGGGCTAATAATTTGTCAGGTCTCGGCTTTTCTCTGTGGACAGTCATTGTCTGTGAATAGTGACAGTTTTGTTTCTTTTCTTTCTAGCCTTGATATGCTTTGTTTCTTTTGCTTATCTTATCCTGCTGGCTCGGTCCTCTAAGGTCAGGTTGGACAGAAACAATCAATGATCACACGCCCTTTGCCTTGAGTGTGACTGTAAATGGAACCCTTGTGCAATTTCACCTCAGGCATGATGTTTGGGGACAGTAACTTCATTAGGATTATCAAAGCTGCCTTCTAAATTCCTATTTTGCTAAGAGTTGTATTAATAATAGGCAGTAGATCTTTTTTTCTAAACTTTCGTTTTTGTGTCTACTGATAGGATCATATGGTTTTTCTTTTTCAGTCTGAATGTGCTTGAAATAGATTTTTTAATGTTCAACTCTCTTCATTCTTGGGGCACATCTAACTTAATCATATGGATTCTTTTAAATACATTGCTGCATTTGATTTGCTCATATTTTTGCCCATAAATTTGTGTGTGCATATGTGTGGTTCTCCTAGACTTATAAAAAGAGATGAAGAGCATTCCTTGTTTCTGTAACATTGACAAATGTCTTGCCAAAGGAGGGCTGTTAATGTGGCTCAAGAAAGAAATCTGAAACAGTTGCTCAAGGGAAAAAATACAAAGACCCACCTAAATGTCTCAGGGTCCTCATAGAGCCCACATGATAGTGCCTGCCTCCCACCGTTCTGCTCAGCACGGGCCAGCACGTGTGCAAGAGCACGGCTCACGGAGAGTAGCTCCACGGGAGGAGCGGTGGGGTTGAGTCCTGGACATAGCTCTCTGTGGTCCCGAGCACGTGCCCAGCCTGAGGCCATGGGAGGGCTCAGCAGGTCTGTGACCACCTGAGTGTCTGCAGAACTGAGGGCAGAATACTCCTGGAGCCACAACTTTCAGCATAGTCCCAAGGGGCCCAGGATCCACAGACATTAACTACTGCTGGTCTGTACGTCGGGGCAGTGGAACTTCTGACAGGGATTCCTGGCGATGGGTTTTAGGATTAATCTCCCCGAAAAACTATACATATTAGGTGGCATATATCAGTACTCTTCATCTTAAATATCAGTGTCCTGCAGTCTTAACAGAGCCCATAAAAGGGTCAGATTTTCAACTTTGGATAAAGGCCTTGTTATTTTAAGGAGAAATGCTACTGTCTTAACATTCAGTCTCTGATTTGAGCTACTTATTAGGAGGGGGGTTTAAGTATTGACTTGCTCAGCTCTGAACTGAGATTTGGCCAACTCCATGTGTTCTTGGTACAGGGCCAACCTGGACATCTTCGACTACATCTACATTGATGCTTTTGGGAAAGGCAGGCAGCTGACGGTGAAAGAGTGTGAATACTTGATCGGCCAGCATGTGACTGCCGCACTGTATGGGGTGGTCAACGTGAAGAAGGTGCTACAGCGCATGGTGGGAAACCTTTTAAGCCTGGGAAAGCGGTAAGGGTTTCTTGGTTTCCCAGTACTGCAGAATGCATGACCTTGAAGGCTTGAGTGGCCTTATGGAGACTTTTCTGTAACGAGCCTCCTAGTGATCCAGCAGAGCAGTGGATGAGGTGTGGCACAGTTGGGATATCCACAGCTGTCACCCACCACAGAGAAAAGCTGGTTCCCATGACATAATGCTGTCCAGATTTAAGATGTGCTCAATGAGTTTTCTTTGAGATCTCTGCAGTGGACTTGGGCAGGCTCTCGTTACAAATGCCAAAAGCATCTTTCAGTAACAAGAACATCTCAGTTCGGCTAAGATTCTCTTTCAGGAGCAGGATGTTCTCATGTCCAAGTGCTTTGTCATCTTGTAATTTTTACCTTTCTGTCACTTAGATAAGAAAGCAAACAAAAGTGTGACACTAGTTTGCTTCTGAGTCGAAGGGACATTTGTCTTGCCGGGAAAATAGGAAGTTGTACATTGTAGCAGTAGTTTTTCTGCCATGGCAGAATTCTTTTTTAATAGACTTTATTTTTAGGGCAGTTTTAGGTTCACAGCAGAACTGAGCAGAAAATACAGAGATTTCCCATATCCCCCTGCCTCCACGCACAGACAGCCTTCCCCCAGGTCAACATCCAGCACCAGAGTGGTCCATTTGTTGTGATCAAGGAATCTGCATTGATACACCTAGTCACCTACGAAGGTCTAGTTCCATTCGTACATTCAGGTTCACTCTTGGTGTTTTGCCTTCTAAGGGTTTTAATGAATATTTAATGACATGTATCAACTGTTATAGTATCACACAGAATAGTTTCTGCCCTAAAAGTCCTCTGCTCCACCTATTCAGAATTCATTTTTAATTATATACAGTGTTATTGAGGTGACTATGTGATGAAAACATGATTTTAGTTTAGTGCCCATCACCAAAGTTAGGTGCAAAATTTACGTTTCTTGTGTATATGTGATTTTATCAAGACCACTGTAACTATTTGCTGAATGGAGAGGAAGTATCAGAATCAGAAAATGTATGGGATTTGTGTAAGGTATTTCTAAAACCTACGCCTTGCGAAGGAGAGTCTTAGAAGCACACGGGATAAGGTGAAGATTTCTCTCCCCACAGGGAAGGCATCGACCAGTCGTACCAGCTCCTGCGGGACTCGCTGGACCTGTATCTGGCAATGTACCCGGACCAGGTGCAGCTCCTCCTCCTTCAAGCCAGGCTCTACTTCCACCTGGGGATCTGGCCGGAGAAGGTAATTATTTGATTTTGATGCTTTGCCCTTGCCTTAGAGAGGGAAATTGTAGCTGGAAAGGGGGCCCTTACAGGTTTATGCTCGTACTGGCAATAAACGCAAATCTATTCAAACTCTCCCGGTCTTGACCTATCATTCAAATGTTTTTTGGTCTCCTTTTCTTCTGATGAAAAACTGCTTGTTCTGCCAAGAGTTGCCCATTCTCTTTGCGGTCAGTGCTGTAAATGCCCAGAACCATGGGGCCTCTGCCCTGCCACTCACCCACTGCTGTCCCTAAGATGGATTTTCCTCGAGTCACCCTGACTCAGCAAGGGAGGCAAACCTGAGGTGCTCGGCCTCCAGCTGTGCTGGTAGCAACTAACGTGACCATACACAAACACCCATTAGAGGGAAGTTACATCTTAGCCGTGTTCACAGCCAGTTGCTAGACTGGTGCAGGACCAGTTATGCCTTTGAAAAGTGCTGAAATCCATACTGTTCCACATGGATTCCCAGTTTTACTGTGGCCCCTGTGGCCAGCAGCGAGTGCTTTCAGACGGCTGCAGCATTGAGGTCGGAAGTGCTCCTGGCGGGCTATGGGCGGCAGATGCTCAAGGCCAAGCGTGTAGCAGAGCAGGAGCAGCTGCATGTTTGCATCACGTCCTTGCTTTTCCAAGGGAAATATGTGAATAATCCTCTTTGTTTGTTTACACAGTCTGGTGAGGGGGCTAAACTCTGGGCTCTCACAGAGACATCACCATAAAGTCATCGGCCCCTGTTATTAAAGAGTGTAAAAGTCTTTTCTTGGGGAAGTAGATGGTCTTAATGACTTGACTTTGCTTGGATTTAAATTGTCTCAGTCACTCATAACTTCAAAGATGTGAAATATTTCTGAGAAAGAACACATCTGTAAGAAAGTCTCTGGGCTTCTATCTTAAGGAAAGATGTCATCTGTGGCCCAGAGAGCAAAGGCATGCGATCTGGTCAAAGAGTTACAGGAAATCTAGGCCAAGGTTCCCACCCACTTCCCAGAACCTAAATAAATCCTGTTGTCCAGCGTTTGATAGCTTATTTATTTTTGATAGTGGGGTATATATATAATTCCTGTCACTTTTTACTTTAGATTAGTTAAGGAATTTCATAATAATTTGTACAGTGCAGAGATCCTTTCAAAGCAAGCTTCTTTATAAATAAATTCTGTGCTTAAATTACACGTTAGCCTCAGAAGGGGTGAGGTTACCATCTCCTTTGTGGAGGAGAGTGTGCAGAGGCTCTGGCTTTACTCTCAGCGACTTAGTGCTTACATCCTGCTTCCTGGGGAATTACCTCAGCGTCCTTGTGGCCACCAAGCCTGCCTTCCTGCCAAGCAAGTGTCACTAAAACAAGGTCCAAATCTGTTACATGCAGAGCATTTGTCCTCATGATGACCATTCAGAGGTCAGGAATGAAAAGTGGCTCATTCCCAGTGAACTGGGGACTCCCCCTTGTATAAACGGCTACTCTAGCCAGGAACCAAGTACTCTAGCCAGGAACCGACACCCCGAGACAGGGAAAGAACCCTGTGGGGCTCCCCAAGAAGAAGGATTGGGGGATGCTGAGGTGATTAGGAAGTGCTGCTTTGTGGAGGAAGGGTTCGAGGTGGACGTTGGAGGATGGACAGCCATTTCAGAAGGCAGAAAAGTAGGTTACTGCAGTGCGATCAGCGTGTGCTCGGCACGAAGGTGGAGAGCTTGGTGCAGAGGTCAGCTTCGCTAGGGTCTGGTCCTTTCACGTGTGCTTATGCATGTGCATGTCAAATGTTTTTTGGGCCATGAGATCAGTTAGTGGAGGGCTTAGAATCTGCTTGACCTTATTAGATGAAAGAGGAACATTCCTAAGCTGGAAAGACCAGAAGGTTAGCTTGTTTTCAGTTGAATTAAACCAAGAAGAGCAAAATACAAGTCCTCTTGGTCACTGTCATAGCGATCCGGGGGTATCGTGGCTGTGATGGAAACAGAGAGTGTAGGGTGCCGGATGTTAAAGCCACTAACACATACTGAATGTCTCCCAACCCTGTGGGGTGCACCTTTTTTTGCCATTTTACAAACACCAAAACTGAGGCCTCCAGCTCAGGCCTGGATGGCGCCCAGGCCCAACCGCAGGCTTCACCCACCCCCTGGGACAGTGGGCTAAAGCAAGATCTTTCTAGAGAAGCTGACAGACGGGCGCAGCATACCCCCTGCTGCCAGACCTGCATCCCTACTTGGATCCGTAGCTATCTCTCTCCTATTTCTCTACTTTTTGGTGGAAAAGATGTCCCTCCAGTTTTCCAAGGCAAACCTGCTGTGCTCTGGGTCCAACTCTCCTGCCTTTTCTTAGATTGCTCAGTTTTCCTTTATTCTTTTATATCTTCAACTCCTATTTCTGTTATGTGCTGTCAGCATTAAACATACTCAAATCTCTCTCATCTTTGAAAAAACAAAAAAGCACTCCCCTGACAGCCCCACTGGCGTTTCCCCAGCTGCCTCCTTATCTCGCCCTCCCCTGCGCGGCGGAGGTCTGCTTGTGGCCATGTGGGCCACCTGCCTCGCCTCCCACACACTCCGCAGAACACGGGGACCCGGTCCTGCCCCTCCACTTCGGGAGCTGCGCTTGCCAGCAAAGCCGGTGACCCTGTTTCATCAATCATCCTTTTTATTGCCAAATCCAACAGATACGTGTTTTTCCTCATCTTCCTGATCACTGGGGGCCATTCCCACTCGGTACAACCTGTTCCTTCCACTCTGTGGCTCTTGGTTCTCAGGCTCTTGCTAGTTCCTTGTCCTCTGGTAGTTTCTAGACTTCTTTCCACTCTGCACCTTCCCCCGAGGTGATCTCGCCTGTTCTTGTTTCAGTTCCCATCTGCAGGCTCATGGCTCCCGAGCCTGATCTGCCTGGCTCCAGCCAGCATACCCAAATGTCGCCTGCACATCTGTACATGGCTTTCTCCTAGGGTATTGCATCCGCCTCCTGCGTGCTCTCCTTCCTCTTAGACCCTTGAGCCTGTTTTATACACTGTAGCCAGAGTAATCTTAATAACATGTCAGTTAGGTCCCTTCAGTGCTCAGAACCCCTAGGTGGCTCCCCCGCTGTCTTGAAGATCAGGCTCATGCTCTTCAGTGTGGCTACTAGGATCTTGGCGGCCTGGCCCTCGCTGCCTGAGCTCTCGTCTCTCACAGTGGCCGCGTTCATGGCCACATCCTCCAGTTGTCCCTATTCTTTGCGTCAGTCCTTGGCACATGCTGCACCTCTGCCTGGAACACTTTTCCTGCCGCTCAACTCCATCTGCCACTCACTTCTGCCTCTGAAACCCTTTCTCGCCCCCTCCGCACAAGGCCAGGTCCTCTGGTGCGGCCCCGCTGCCCTTTCACAAAGCTGCTAGGAGTATGTTATAGCTACTTCTCTGGGCCACACTCTGTAAGGATGAGACCGGAGCCGTCCTGCTGTTCCCTGGAGCCCGTCCCCTTGCTCTCAGCCCAGTTCTGCATAGCAGGTGCTCGGAAGTTTTTATCTGGATGAGTAAGAAATGACAGGTCTTCATTAGCTGTGAGGAAGGGAGAAGGCCCAAAGTGGATGGCCAGGCTTCCCACAGCTATTGGCCCCATGAAAAGGGGGTGTTGGAGGACAGGCCTGTTCCATGTGTGGGAGGGGTCAGTTTGGGGTATGCTGAATATGATAGGACCTCGAGCTGTGTGCTGCTGTCCTAGGGCATTTGGCAGGGGCCCCAGCTCCAGCATCTGGTAGTGGACACCCCAAAAGTATAAGAGCCCACAGAGAGTGGACATCAGAGGATGGAACCAAGAGCTTCCGAGAGAGCCTTGGGGGAACCTACAGTTAAGGGGACAGAGTGGGCCCAAGGCAGCCTGGTTTTATGAATTAAGTTTTAGCCATGCCCATTTGCTTACTTGTCTCTGGCTGATTGCCAGCTACAGCGGCACAAGGGAGTAGTTGAGTCAGAGACCGAATGTCTCACAAAGCCTAAAATATTTACTCTCTGGCCCTGTACAAAAAAAGTTTGCCAATCATGAGTGATAGACACCGCCCCCTTCCAAGATCTCTACCCCAAAAGTTGTGGACTCGGGATTCTAGGCCTAGACATTGGTTTGGACACAACCCGGTTCCCAGCTGTCAGAACTGTCCCTTGGGAACATACAACGCCTGGATCCCCAGATCACCTCTGTTTCTGCCCCCTCCCTTCACCCTGACATGCACACATCAAGGGAAGGACCGGGAGGTTGTCGCTGGGTGTCATCGCCTCTGATACTCTGAGCTCAGTAATTCCTTCGTGCGCTGAAGATTCCCAGTTAGGCCTGTTTCCCTGCTCTGGTGGGAGGGGCTGTGGGAAAGGAGGGGAAGCTGTGTCTAGAATGTAGCAGAAGTCAGTCAGCAGCAACTGGTTGGAACTGCGGAGGGGAACACAAGGAACGCATTACACAAGCCCAGTAAACAGAAGCTTACTGTTAAATCCTGTGCTCTTCTCCACAGAAGATAAAGGTTGTGCCTCCCAAGTTAAAAGTCCTTTTGGAGGGGGATTGACTCTCAGCTGACAGTGGAGGAAGCTGGGTCTGGGGTGCACGAGCCATACCATTCTGCCCGTTTTTACGGGTTTGAAAACTTGCATAGCAGTTAATTAAAATACTCCTACTCCTGCTTTGGTATGATGGTGGCAACCAGGGGTTAGAGTTAGCCCAGGTCCATCCTCACTCCAGGTCTTCATAACCTGTGACCTCAGGCAAGTTACTTACCTTCATTCAGCCTGATTCCTCTCCTGGCAATGACTGTGGCTGACCTTCAAGTTGGGAGGTTAAATGAAATAAAAAAGTAACAGACTTGGCACAGTGACTAGTGAGAAAAAAGTGTTTAGTCAATATTGAGACCCACAAATCTCAGTGTGGAGAGAGAGATTGGGTATTAGAATAATGGTATCTCACATTGCATAAAACAGTGGTTTCCACAACACTGATAGGTTCAAAATATATCAGGAAACAGGGCCTTTGTTAATCAACAACAGTGAGTTTGACAGACCTGGCACTAGAGTCCAGGTTGCTCTCCTTTCCTCTCTCTCAAATCAGTCAATAATTTATTTGTTTTTAAAGTGAAGCCCATGCTGACCAAGAACCTGAGACCCTTTGAGAGCTTGCTTGTCCAGATGTGCCTGTCAGTGGCAAACCCTTCTCCCCCACGCTCAATCCAGTCCACTGTGTTTCCAAGCAATTTCTAATGTTCATGTTGGTTCACATGGGTGTCTGGGGCCGGTGCCCAGTATCAGAAGTGAGTGCGCCAGCTTCGAGCTTGCGGGGCACTGACTAGGGAGGGCCCGTGGGTCTCGGGGACCTAGGCCATCACCCGGGCCCCGCCTGGCCTTGCCATCCTTAGGCTAGGTAGGACCAAATCCAGTGCGGCAAAAGGGAAAAGGCCTCAATAAAAATATTATCACCTAGTCTTTCTGTCTTGTCTTGAAGGTGCTTGACATCCTCCAGCACATCCAGACCCTGGACCCCGGGCAGCACGGGGCCGTGGGTTACCTGGTGCAGCACACGCTGGAGCATATTGAGCGCAAGAAGGAAGACGTGGGTGTGGAGGTGAAGCTCCGCTCCCACGAGAAGCACCGGGATGTCTGCTACTCCATTGGGCTCATCATGAAGCACAAGAGGTGAGTGCCCATGGAGCCCGTCATGCGCTTGCGAAGACACCCGAGAGCCCGAGAGCAGCAGCAGCGATGTGCCTGAAGGGAGCCCAACTCCGAGCAGCGGCTGGCTGGGCCCACCCCAGCAGGGCCCGCAAGCCCAGCCTTAGCTGCCCTCCTTGTGTCTTAAGGAGCGACTCGCTGTCCTCCCTGGGAGGTCCTCTGACGTTTTTAGTGGCCTTTAGATGCCTGACCCTTCTCAGTGTGCAAAGGTGGAGGCAGCTATGAATAGAGTGTCTCTCTCCTTTCTTCATTGTCCTTGCCCTTCACCTCGACCTCCTGAGTTCAAGGTATGGGCAGGACCCTGCTGGGTCATAGGGTTGCCCATTATGATTTATTAGACAGATTAAACTGTGTCCAAAGCGACTGTACCGATTCACATCCTCTGGGCAGCTGGGAGCTGAGTTCCTGTTCTCACCTACGAGCGTTATTGCCAGACCTCTAAAAATGCACTTCTGTCATCAGTGGCAACTGGTATTTCATTGTGGTTTTAATTTTCATTTCCCTGATGCCTCCACAGATTGAGGTTCTTCTCACAGGTGTACTGGCCGTTCGAGTTTCCTTTGGTGCCTCGTCCAGTCTTTTGCTTCTGATTTGTACTCATTCCGTTTCTGTATGTTTAGTCTCTGTGTGCACATAAGTACCAAATATCTTTTTCCAGGTTCTGGTTAGTGTTTTCATTCTTCCGTTGCATTCTATTTTATTTATTTATTCATGGTGGAAATTTTAAGCATCTAGAGTAAAGAGATTTGAGTATAACGACCTAGGTGATGTTCTCACGTCAGCCCCAAAGGTTATCATGATAGGGTCAGTCTTCACTGTTCTCCACCCGCCCTTCCCACCCTCCTCCCTGGAAGCAAATCCCAGATGTCATTTCATCTGGGGCTATTTCACACTGTGTCTAAAAGGTAAGGGCCCTCTCTTTTGTTAAAAATGCATTTACCATCCTGTTGTCATATCTAAGAAAAAATAAGCAATTCCTTAACGGATAGATAGACTGTTTGAGTCAGGGTCCTTTAATGCTGTCAGATTGATCAGTCTCTTCCTTTATGGATTGTGTCTTTAGGTCCTTGTTCAAGAACTAATTTGCTACCCCGAGTCACGACGACCGTTTGAAAGTTCTGTGCTTTACGTCTAGGTCCCCGCTCTCCTCAGGCGGCTCCATGCGCAGCTGGCAGGCCGGGGCCCTGGCCCTTCCGCCTGTGGCCAGCGGCCCCTGCTCTTTGCCAGACATTTATCATTTTCCGCCTGAAGGGCTAGGTTGGTAGCAGGAGGGGTTCACAAAGAGGGGCAGGCGCCCTGGAGAACACTCGGCGTGGGTACGAGCAAGTAAATTTGTCAGAACGGGAGTGTAAGAGGAGACGAGCCACCTCTTATGCCTCCCGGTCGCCTGGGCCCCAGGGAATTGACTTCCACCGCTCTCGTGTTGATTAGGTATGGCTACAACTGCGTCATCTATGGTTGGGACCCTACCTGCATGATGGGACACGAGTGGATTCGCAACATGAATGTCCACAGCCTGCCTCACGGCCATCACCAGCCTTTTTACAATGTTCTGGTGGAGGATGGTTCTTGCAGATATGCAGCCCAAGGTAAGCGGCTGGTTCCTGTTTGTACCTTTAATGACACTTGGGCGTATTCTAAGCACACATTTGAGCACTCAGGCGCTGTGGGCACAGTCATCAGTCTCCAAGAGCTCACCTCCTTAGGGCCAACACTCACTAATAAACAAGGGCGGTGTGCCCTGGTGCAGCCACACCACGGGCTAAATAGTCACAGTCCTCAGAGTCTCCCCCTCCATCACCACTGCAGCTGGGACCCTATTCCAGTGCTGCTGCTGACCTCTGTTCTGATTGGTCATTGCCTTTGCCAATCAAAACCCCAATGCCAGCTTCTCAGGCATTGCCATTGGCTCCCTCCAGGTAAGGCGGGTCAGCTTGAACTGCTTTCCCCCTACCATCTGCTTGAACTGGAAGGCATTGAATGGGCACGACTTGGGGAGCCACCCTAGTACCCTCTGGCCTCCTGAGACTGGCAGCCTCGTGTGCTCCCCCAGAGACACCACTGGGAACTGCAGTCCATAGCACTGGCTTCAAGAGCACGGGGCTTGGTAGGTGGGGCCTCTGCCAGCCCTGGCAGGTGCTAGCCCAGGGCACTCCTGAGACAGACAAATGGAGCCCATGGAGGCAGGTTAGAGACAAAAATGCCCCCACTATGAGTCCCCTTTCTTTGTTACTCTACTTAATGAGATGAAGTTTTTGCAGGCCTCCCTGTGGTGGCATTTACAACATTCCTTTTATTAATAAAAATGAGCACATGCCAACGCACTGCTGCTCTGCGATGGGCAGTGTGATGTCTGTTAATGCCATTGGAAAACACGTTTCCGTCGTCATCATCATACTCATTTGTCCCTGAGGAAACTGAGGCACAGAATTGTTTAAATCTTAACTTACAGAGTGTGAACTTGAACACAGGCAGCTTGGCAAAGCCTGGTCCATAACCATCATGCTACAGCTTTTTGTGTCTGATCTAAAACATGTTTGACCTAACTCAGTATTATGTTCTGGTAAAATGCGTTAATAGAAATAGTGAATGTGTAAAAATTTCAGAAGTGTCAAAAAGACTAGAAGAAGCTGCTTCTTGTTGGTAATTCACCAGAAACCGAGAGACAGTCACATACAACAAGAGAAATTCTGTTTCTTGAGGCTGCAGGTCGTGTTAACCTCTGCCAGTGTAATGAGGGAGCTGTAAGAGGGTTGATGTCCTGTCAGACAGAGGCGCTGATAGCGATTTTATTTAACTTGTGAAGCTGGGACAAAAAAATCATACTAAGTTTCAAAAACTCAACATGATTTGAAAACTGTGGCGTGGTCTGTGGACTCTTTGTACTCCCCACGGATCGCCTGGTTGGCACGCCACAGTGCGTCTCGGAGCGAGCGTATCACAAGGATAAAGGGCGCTGTCTTGTGACCAACACTGCGGCCAGCCCCGTGGCTTCACCTCGTGCCTCCGTTGCCGGTTATGTAGTGCAGGTCTTAAGACTCTCGGTATTTGATGTCTGCGTTTCTAGAAACATCTATGTTAGCTTTCGATTGGGATTTTAGAGTAGGTAAACGGTATTTGGCTTCAGGTGTTCTGAGTTTTTTCAGTGTCTCAGGAATTCATCTCTGATCGTATCCTAAGTAAACTTGCAGTGCAGGGTTTAGAGTCATAGCTGTGGAATGACTTTGTAGAAAAGTTCAACATCTTGTTGATTTTCCCTGAAACTGAGATGGAACTAAGTGATTGTAGGTCCCAGTCATAGAGCAAGAGGTTCGTAAACAGAAGCGCAGACACGGAGGCGGTGCTGGTATATGTGATGGAGAGGCTAACGTCTTTTTTTTTTAACAACTTTGGGCGAGAGCATTTAAACGAGAACACGGGGTAGCCCCATACATGCTCCGCTGGATTCAACAGTTGGCATTTTTACAGTATCCGTTTGACTTACAGATGGAGGTTCTCATTTTTTGCTGAACCATTTGGAAGACCATTGCAGGCATCATGACTGAACACTGGGTCTTACCTGTTGTAAGAGTAAGGACACCTCCCTGCATGGCCACAGTTTAGCATCACACGTAGCAAAGAGAAGCTATTTTACAATATCTCACTTTCAGTCGCCTTTCAGGTTTCCCAGCAGTCACAGAATATCCTTCATAGGTGTGTGTTCATTTTTAAATCCGGACCCGACCAGGGTTTGTGTACTGCATTTGCTTATGTTCCTCATTTCTCCTCTTTTATTTTCCCTGTTCCATAAGACTTTGACATTTTGAAAAGTCCAGGCCAGGTAAATTGCCTAACTGCTGGATGTCATACTGTTTGCTCATCCGGGTGTTGCCTGTGAACTGGACGCTAAGCCTGAGGCTCGATGAGATCAGGCTAATATTTTTGGCTGGGACACTTACTCTCAGATGCCGTGTGTCACGTTGCCTCTCATCCAGAGGCCTGCGGTGTCACTTGGCTAAGATAGTGAGTGACTCACTGTAAGGGACTGTTTTCCTTTTGCAGTTAACGTGAAACCTGTGGAGTCCCAGTGTGACATCCCGTGTGTGTCATCTTCCCCAGTAACCTTTGTCCTTGCTTGCATTCGCACCTATTGAATCTCCTTGCCTAAGTTATCATGAGAATTGCAAAATGATGATTTTCTCCCGCTGTTATTCAAGAGTTTCCCTCCCCCCTTCTGTCCGTCCCTCCTCCTCCCCGCCTCTCTCCGCCTCCCCCTCCAGCTCTCCTCCCCACCTCTCATAGATTCCTGGATTTTTATTTAGCCCAATGTGTTATCATTTGAAACAATTTTTTGCTCAGATTACCTCATATTTAGCCAATGGAAGACCTTCAGAGGCTAGATTTTAAAAATACTTATTTAAATATGTTTTTTAAACATTTCTTGGTTAACTAATTTGCATTATTTTGTTCTACAATTTTTTCTTGATCTAAATTTGCAGACTTTGGCTCCATGATCCGAGTCATCTGGGTGGAACCACTGCATTAGTGAGCGTTTTCTGATTACTCGTTCTGCGCAGAGAGCTGAGGAGTAGGTTGCAGACCACAGGCACGCACGGCATCTCCAAATAGTTGTATCTGCGCCCTCAAGGGAATTTTCCCGACAGTATGCTGGCACTCACCTAAATCCTAAGGGAGGGATATACCGTATCTGGTGCGCGCGCGCGCACACACACACACACACACTCTCTTTGGATGCTCTGAGCTGCCCATCAGCTGCCTACCTCAGAAGGTCAGGAGTTCAGCTGTGACGTGAACTTCTGGTTCTTGCATTGTGGTTAGAATGCTTGGCACGTGCGCCCATCACCAAATGTTAGTTCCATCTCCATAATTTGTCCTACATTCCCAACTGAAGTTTCTACCATAACTGCACACACACACAGGCACACACAGCCCGTGGCAGCCTGCACATGCTGGCATGTGTGCGAGGATCCCCTGCATCAGGGCTGGAGTGTGAAATTTCAGCCATTTGCGGGGACGGTTTGGTGCTCTCCTTTAAACTGAAAATCTCCAGTGTCATCCTCTTACCTGTCAGCATCATCCTCAGGTCATTCGCAAGGACTCCCTGGTAGAGTGGGGTGTATCCAGACTGAGGAGAGCTAAACTCCAGGTGGACTCACCATTTGCAGACGCAGTTGCTGTACGTTTTGCATGAATAAGCGAAACAGAGCCGTGGGAGTTTTCATTAAGTGCAGTTATGTTTAGACACATTGGTGTGTGCCCACTGAAGGACTAGAGGCACTCACTGGTAATGGCTTCCTCTCGGGAGGGAGGGGACCTGGGCGGGACGGCTGCCCGGAGGACTCACAGGTAGCCTTTCCATTGTTTTACAGGAGTGTATTCATACATTTTGGGGTAGCTTGAAATTCTTAAATTAGCAGACACGTTTCTCTGAAAATTTCAGGGGAATCAAAAAGACTTCTCAGGCTTTTCTGGGACCTTTAGTCCCTGTTTAATATTCTGCTCAGTCACGTTTTGTATCACTTAGATTTCTTATGTCTCTTTTAGTAAATATTTTAGAAACCTTTAGTGGATTGAGATTTATTTTCCCCTCGTAATACACAGTTTCCAACCTCACTCTCGTTTTCTCCTTTAAAAAGTTTTTCATTAATACATTTTTTCATTTTTGCTAGGAGCCCAGGCAGGTAGATGGTTTGAAATCAGTCCATGTTCCCATAACAGCCAGGAGCGGGGCTGGGAGGACCCCCCCCCCCC